CAAACAAACAATACTTCGTACTCTGCATTCTAACGAAAAAGAAACAACAACAACGGTGGAACCAAGAATTTTTCACGAGTACTTTTTTTTTTTTTAGATTTCGAAAGAAAGAAAGATTGAGACCAGTTGATGAAATTATTTCCGAAATTAATCTAACTCAAGTGCTGACAATTGCATCGTTGTAAACGTTCCATTTTATGCGATTAATAATTGTAAGGACGAATGAAAATTTTGCCTTTTTTCCCCCAACTGTAATCACTTCATTGTTGATGGAATCTGTTGAAACTGATATTACTTGAGAAAAATGTTCAATTTTGTATGTATTTGGAAGAGATGATTTGTTGGCCTATTTAAACGGAATCGTAGTTTGTTTGTTTTTGTCAGTGAAGTTAAATGCCAAATATTTCTAAATTTAGGTAATATAAAATGTATCAATATAATTGTAGTTCTTAAGGCTTAGGAAGTTTGAAATTACCCTAATGAGCTTTGATTCTGTTCTATTCCAGCATTATAGAATACTGAGTTAAAATATAGGAAATTTAAGATAAGCCAATAACGACTTTTAATCACTAAAAGGAAGAAAAAACCTATTAATTAAACTTTTTTTTACACTAATATGGAAGAGAAAGGGCACAGTTGACAGTTCCTGTTCTCAAAATTACTACAAAAAGTAATCAGTTTAATTTATCATTTGAGAAACCGAAATATAGTTTTTTTTCAATCAAACTTTCTGTAAAAAAATTACTTGCGTGGGCCTCCTAGTGGCACAGTGGTATGTCTGCGGACTTACAACGCTAGAAACCGAGTTTCGATACCCGTGTTAGGCAGAGCACAGATAGCTTATTGTGTAGCTTTGTGCTTAACTTCAAAAAAACAAACAATACTTGCGTGAACCGGTGTAAATGTGCCCTTGGAAGAAAGAAAAAATGGGACCGGAATCTTGTTTGTTTCTTTATTTTGTTATTACCACAAAATCTGACAATGGACTACCTTTGCTGCGCCCACTGCAGGAATCGAACACTGAATTTCGTGGTTATTTGCCCTCAAGCTTGCAGCTGACCCACCGGGGAGGGGGGTGGATAGGGATCAAGCGTTAACGCCCCCTTTTAATGGAAAATATAACGGCAAAAACAGAACAACAAAAACGATTGTAGGTTTTAGTCATTTCTCTGCACCGTATTCTCACTAGATGGCGGTTCATTTCGCATTCTCTCGCAATCCTCTGCACCAATCCGTCTAAGGATCCAGGCACTAAATGTCAGTTGGAGATGTTGGTATTCTGATAAAGTTTTACTGAAACAATTTTACCGTATCGTTACAAATATTATTACTGTTGTCACATTTTCTTAATATAAAAATACACACAACATGTTACGCTGTAATAAAAGCAGCCAGATTGAGTCAGGATTGAGTCACACTTCTACAACTTGATTTGAGAGTGTTTTACTAAATAATTTGTTTCAAGCCTTTAAACATTTATAATATTTTATCCCATCAAAAATATTTTTACATTTCGGTGAAACGAATAATTTCTATTTTTTTGTTTTTAGCGCAGCGAAAATGAAGTTGGTGTTATTGTTGCCCAGACTTGAATTATTTACGCTAGTAATAAAAATAAAATATCCGTGGTTAGCTGTTTTAATTATCCATACGATCCACGCAGTCTTAAGTCAATTATTTGCTGACTGTTGGACAGATCAACATGTTTAACATTAAACAAATAAAGTTCACTTTAAATTTTTGAACTGATTTGAACCTTAATCGTTGTCCTGCCAAGGTTTTACCTAAAACAAGTAAAGTTTATTTTAAATTGATTTGAACCTGAATCATTGTCCTACCAAGGTTTTACCTAAAACAAGTAAAGTTCATTTTAAATTTTTGAACTCATTTGAACCTGAATCGTTGTCTTGCCAAGGTTTTACCTGAAACAAGTAAAGTTCACTTTAAATTTTTGAACTGATTTGAACCTGAATCGTTGTCCTGCCAAGGTTTTACCTGAAACAAGTAAAGTTCACTTTAAATTTTTGAACACATTTGAACCTGAATCGTTGTCTTGCCAAGGTTTTACCTGAAACAAGTAAAGTTCACTTTAAGTTTTTGAACTGATTTGAACCTGAATCGTTGTCCTGCCAAGGTTTTACCTGAAACAAGTAAAGTTCACTTTAAATTTTTGAACTGATTTGAACCTGAATCGTTGTCCTGCCAAGGTTTTACCTGAAACAAGTAAAGTTCACTTTAAATTTTTGAACTGATTTGAACCTGAATCGTTGTCCTGCCAAGGTTTTACCTGAAACAAGTAAAATCATCACGTAACTAGTACGCCTCTGTAAAGTCCCAACTTCTTGGAAGAGGTTTAATTTAAACATCTCAGAAGACAATTATCTCATCTTATTTGTGCTGTTGTTGAACCTGAACCTTGTCCAACGAAGGTTGCATAAGTAGAACCTTCACGTAACTAGTACGCTTCTGTAAAGTCCCAACTTCTTGAAAGAGGTTTAATTTAAACATCTCAGAAGACAATTATCTCATCTTATTTGTGCTGTCGTTGAACCTGAACCTTGTCCAACGAAGGTTCGCCTTGCATAAGTAAAACCTTCACGTAACTAGTACGCTTCTGTAAAGTCTCAATTCTTGAACGAGGTTTGATGTAAACATCTAAACAATGTGCTTATTACACCGTTATTTTTTATTTTTCTTTCACTTTTACAACCTGCCTCTTTAGTGGACTGTTTTGGTAAAACACCTAGTTGCATGAAGTATATAGGTAGAGAAGATTGTTTTAATTCTTGGTAACAAAGAGATCCATTTCAAAATGAATAATTAAACAACTTATATATACGGTTTCCTGGTATTGTGTTTGTGTGTGAATAGCATGTACCATTGTGTCAGTTAAAGAATATCCGCAAAATATTCAAAAGAGGTCAGTAGAAAGAAATATATATATATTATTATGGAAAGAAACAACGAAACCCAAACAACATGTATTTAGAGTCTATAGAAGACTCGTACCTTTAATGATATGACAGGCTAGATCCGGTATTAATTTTTAAAATTTGTTTCTTTCAGATATTTTACAGATAGCTTTTTGGTTAGTTTGTGCGAAGATGCTGAAATCAGTCATTTGTATTCACTTAAATAAAGATTTAATCTTTGCTTAAGTACTGACTATGAGTCGTGATCATTTTCGGCGAAGCTTGAAATATATTATTTTTATATTTGATTGTTATTATTTTCAATCATAGATGCAAAAGAGAGGCAAGCTCCAAAGCTGTCTTCCACTAGAACCTCCATCCACGTCCAGGAAGGAGAACCAGCAGAACTAACGTGTGCTGCTCAAGCTTTTCCTCTTCCCGGTTACAAGTAAGTTTAGTCAAATATATAAAAAAAATCTTCCCGGTTACAAGTAAGTCAAGTAAAAAAAAAAAAGATATTTCCGGTTACAAGTAAGTTTAATCCAAAAAAAAATCTTCCCGGTTACAAGTAAGTTAAATCAAGTATAAAAAAAAACTTCCCGATTACAAGTAAGTTAAGTCAAGTATAAAAAAAACTTCCCGGTTACAAGTAAGTCAAGTCAAATATATATGAAAAAACTTTCCGGTTACAAGTAAGTCAAGTCGAATATTTTAAAAAAATCTTCCCGGTTACAAGTAAGTCAAGTAAGGAAAAAAAAATCTTCCCGGTTACAAGTAAGTCAAGTAAGAAAAAAAATCTTTCCGGTTACAAGTAAGTTTAATAAA